CCGGTGTGTGGGATAGCGTTGCCAGACTTGTTTTTTTTTAATCAGTACATCGCATTTTTTTGACTCATCAAAATCAGTATTTTTACTACACTTGTATTTAAGTTTACTCAATGGTTATGAATCCGCGCCTACCTGCCATATAACGCATAATACCGAATTTATAAACAAACTCAAAAACTACTATTTGCATGAACATTTTTTTTTTGTATGGGAAGAAACAACAATTTATAAAGTTAGATGTTAACGGCCGCTGTAGTCGAGTGGATAGAGATGCGTATTTCACTACGTAGCACCAAAGTTTCATCCCATCGTTCCATCAGAACGTCCAAAAAGGGTTTTCTAATTGCGGCCGCCCCTAGGCTGGCAATGGCAAATCCCCGAGTACATTTCTGCCATAATAAAGTTTCGCATTAAATCCGGCGTAAAACTGTAGGTCTTTACATTTGTGAAACATCATCAAGACGCACATCACAAACTAGAGGGGAAAAGCTCGGTCAAAGGCTTAGCAAAAGTGTAACCGCCAAAATATTACACAAAAGTAAGTGATTTTGTTGCGGTAAATGTAAAAGCTAATTCTTTGTGCTGATTACAAATCCGAAAGTATAAAGTCTCCATCAGATCCAGATTTTGAGAAAAACGAGGTCAGAGTTTAATAAAAATAGCGTTGCAATATTATAGAAGGCCTAGCAAAAACAAAAACAAAAGGTGATAGAACCTTTCGCTTAGGCTTAAAATAAAGCTACAACTCTCAACTACTATCCAAGAAAATATCATCCCTGCACCTTGAGCTCATGGTCACTAATAGTCATTTATTGAACAATATAAAAATACTAGAAAACTGTGCTATTAAAAAAAAAAAATAATTTTACCAAAATCAGTTTTTACTGTTAAATAAATAACTATAAGTGACCTTAGGGTTAATGTTCAGGGATGACATTTTAAGAGATTGTAGTCGAAAGTTCAAACCTTAATTTGAGCCTAAGTGGCCTTTTGTTTAATTGCGGTGGGTACTCAAACTTCGCACAAAATCAGGTTTTGCTGTTCAATAAATGACTATAAGCGACCAACCATGTCATGGTGCTGGGATGGTATTTTCACAGACATTACCCGAGACTTCTAGCTATAATTAAAGCCTAATATCACTATTGTGTCTTTGCTAGAACTTCTAAAATATTGCCACAAAACGAGATTTTTTAACACTTTGACCTAGTTTTTATCAAAATCTTGAGCCGATGGAAACTTTATACTCACGGATTCGTAATCAGCACCGAAAATTCAATAAAAATCAGCTTTAATATTTGCCGCAACAAAATTTTTTCCCATTTTTGTTCCCCTGTGTTATTATTCGTTATATAACATTTCGAATGGTTTATATGGCCATCTATTAAAATTTTATTGAGTTCTCCAATTTAGACGTTTATGTCCTGTCAATTAGCATTTCGCGTTATATTTTGTGTCAATCAGTATTTCAATATACTTACATCTGTTTATTTGTATATTATATACACATACATACATACACACTATGTGTAAAAAATTGAATCATACTCTAAGTAACATATGTATGTACTAGATACTTATATTACAGGTGCTATAAGGGGTCAAAGTCCAAGTCTTCGAAAAATAAAATTTCTTCTAGTGCAAACAATTTTTTACTGATTTTGAAAAACAGTAATAACGTTATAAAGGTGATTAAATCCCCTTTCTTCCGATGTGCATATTTGTATACTTCGAATATAAAAATTTTAGAAAAAAACACATTTAGAGAAAAAAATATTTTTTTTATAACAAAAATTACCAACCGATTTTTAAAAAATCAGTTAAAATTTTCTGAAATATTAAGTTTTTTATTTTTCGAAGATCTGACTTTTGCACCTGTAATATAAATTTTCACAAAAAAATGTAGATATTACATAAATAAGAGTAAAAGGCGGACCACGTCTGTATTTTTACTTTTTTGCTGTTTATATGCAATAGTTAAAAATAATTTTTTACCAAAGGTGCAATTTCGAACTTCGATGGCCCATATCTCGATTTCGGAGGCTAACTTCGAAAAACGGAGAAATAACTTTTTTTTACTTAATAATAATAATAATAGACTGGCACTTACACATATTTTAGTGTTTGGCCGAGCTTCTCCTCCGATTTGTGGCGTGCGCCTTGATGTTGTCACACAGAGCGGAGGGACCTACAGTTTTACGCCGACTCCGAACGGCGATTGTATTTTTATGAGAAGCTGTGGTTTGCCATTGCCTGCCGAGGGACGACCGCTGTTAAGAAAATACCTTTTTTGGGTTTGAACCCAGGCTTACTTATGACTCTTAAAATAAGTTGGTTTGGTCCAATACCCAGCCGAGTGCTGTACAGTGTTATTAGGTACAAGTTTATAATAAACACAAGGATATATTGTAATTTTTAGTGCCAGGAAAACCTCAAAATTAATTAAATTTATATCTAAAACTTTAATGTATGTATTAAAAAAAGTAAGCAAAGTTAAAAGTAAAAAATTCATTTACAATAGATTAAAAATTAAATTGTTCTTTTAATTTACTTGAAGCAAGCTAGTTCATTGGAACCATTTGGCTACTGCACACCAGATATTCCCTTGAGTTCCTTAAACCCCTTATTTTTTTTTTTTTTTGTAGAATGGTATCCAAATTTTCCTTGATTTTTTCCCAAGTTCACCCTGCACACCTTGAATAGTAGTAATAGCAGTCTCCACAAGATGTACTTGTTCAGCTAATGATTTTTTTCCTTCCTATTTAGTTATTATTTCCGACAAGAAGCTGTAATTTGCATTCATATAGGCTAAATGTGATTCAATCGCTTAGATCTTTAAGAAAGGTTTGAAATTCCTTAAAATGTAGGCAATAATATTTTTCCGCCTCTAACCAGGTTCCCCATCTCGTTAATAGTGGCTGTGGCGAAAGAGCGAAATTGTGATACATGTTCTAAACTTCAACCCGCAAAGCAGATGTTAAAAATATTTTTTTCCCATTCGATGTTAAATCGTCAACATCGTTGAAGCGAGCTCTTACATCTTCGGCCACTCGGTGCATTGCGTCCCAAACAAGTAACGTGCAGTCACTTTGGGTAAAATACCATCAGCGCCTTTGCTGATTTTACCCTAACCGCCAAAAAAACAAAACGTAAGCGACATATTTTGAAAAAACTTTCGTTTTGATGCAGAAATGCCACTAGAGCAAAAAGAAAATTTTGAAGAAAAAATTTCGCTTGCGTTTTTTGGCGGTTAGGGCTCGATATATGGAGCTGCATCAGTGACATATAAAATAATCTTCGACTTTCCGAAATCAGTATCCAATAGTTGCATGGAATCATCAAATGCTCTTGCGATTGTGGAGTGATTCGTCCGTTCTAGACAAACGGCGTTTAATAAAAAATGCAATTAAATATGCATTTCTGACAAAATATGCCTATATATATGCATTTAATAATATTAATAATAATAATAATAATAATAATAATAATAATAATAATAATAATAATAATAATAATAAT